GAGTTGTAGTAGTAGTAGTAGTAGTAGTAGTAGTAGTAGTAGTAGTAGTAGTAGTAGTAGTAGTAGTAGTAGTAGTAGTAGTAGTAGTTTTAGTAGTAGTAGTAGTAGGAGGTAGTAGTCAGGCCCACTTCTGTCACACTAGTGGTTTTCTTTCCACTTCTGTCACACTTTAGCTTGATGGTCAGACAGCTGTGCTTTCTGCTTTGCGCGATACAGCGGCCCAAAAGAGCAAGGGGTCGGCAAACTTGAACCTGTCCGTCGATCACTTGAAGGGTGCATGTAGACTGGGTAAAACATCACCTTCACCAGCTGAATTAGAAGATCCCGTAGTGAACCATGTAAGGAGTGCTGTAGTCAAGTCAAAACTCCCGCGCTGAATTCGTGCCAGGTTCTGAAGGACTGTGTCAGGCCGGCGTCTGGAAGTTTTGTCCGAAGAGCCACAGGCAAATCTGAGTGTCCGAACAACAAGTGGGGTCGTTTCGACTGTTGAACTTTGGTTTCCCATCGCAAAATGGGATGAATTATTTCATGGCCCTGATGTGGCTGAGTAACCTTCGTGATCCAGGATGTGTCGCGGGGCGAGGAGGTGTGAGTTGTTGAATATGATTTGTTCCAGGTGTTGACTTGCTTTGTCGTTGAAGTTTGGACTAGACAACTATCTCAGAGCTAGATACTCATCATTCATGAATGTTCCTGAATTTATGTTTGTCATTTGGTCAACGACTTGCTTCCCAACTGGTAGGTTGACATGAAAACCACAGAAGGAAGCCCTCCCCTTTTTTTGCGTTTCTTCTGTTGATTTGTAAAGTTTAAAGTTGAAGAGCCCCTGTCGGTACTAGGGCTTGCCCGACGTGGCTGGCCCGACGTGTCAACTTCCCCTGCAAAAACATGGGTGGATGGGTGCGCTGTCATTTGCCAGACTCGAGCCCTCGAGAGTTCACAGTCGAAAACCTTTGCAATGGTTTTGCTTCTGCTTGAGACGCACATCGTCTCCCACGCCCAGTGTTCATCTCGGGAGCTTTTGAATCCCAAATACGTTTGGAGGTTGCTATCAGAACCACCCCCTCACGGATGATTTTGATCACGCGACATGTCCGGATTGGGTGAGGTTCTTGGTTGCCAGCGGAGACGTTGCTTATATGACTTGCGATTCTATGTAGTTCGCTAGTAAGTTATTGTAACAGTTAATTCTGCGGGCGGCCGGGGGGGGGGGGGGCAAGGAGGGGTTGTCCCTTGATGCCGCCCGAGGTTCCGTCTTTTTGGAAAGGGCATACCAAAAGGGAGCCCTCAATTTGATAACCCCTCACTTGCAAGACAGGGACAAATATATATATATATATATATATATATATATATATGTATATATATATATATATATGTGTGTGTGTGGGAAACCCAGCATGTGGGGATCCCTGTACTCGGCAAGCCCCCATACAGTTACATTCCAAAAACAGTAAACATTCACGCAGCATACGAGATCCCAGATCTCTGGCCCGGCGGCTTGTTTTGAGGCTTGCGCCAGATGAGTCAATGAGTCAACTTGCGCAACCTAAATGAGTTGATTGATATCTCAGTTGGGGTCTGACCATGTGCCACTGTTTCCTGAGTTCCTCGGCACCATTTTGGTATTGAACAACTTGGAGTTTTTCTGGGCCCAAGTTGAGTCAGGAAGTGATTGGGTTCCTAAGTGAACATTTCGAGGGGTCCACACTTGGATTTTTTGTGAGAATTAACCATCAGGAATTGGACCGCAGGTTTTAGTCCATGTTTCCACTTACCAGGGTTCCCTTGGGCACCTATTCTCGACCCACAGTCATTTGTTTGGATGTCACTTTCCCCCTCTGCACGCCATGCGCCAGAAGCTCGCAGTTCCCCGTCTTCGAGCGCGGCAAGGGCTGGAAGAAGGGCTGCTGGCGGATGGTCCTCCGCTTAGAGACGTGTTATTGGCCAACCAGTGTCCCAGTGCTCCAAGCTGCAAACGTTGACCCCATATTAATCAACCCCAGTTTAGGAATAGGGGGGCGGGCCCCTTCCAAAAGTGGTCTGATTCCCCATTTTACCCAGGGACACCCAATTAATATACTGGGGTTGAGTAATATGGGGTTAAAATTATATTCCGTTTCCTTCAACTGGAGAGAACCAGAGGTTTAGGTCTATTCTGCAGTTGTTCAACGGTGTTAGAATTCTCCTTTTTTGGACCTTCAACAATGGCAGTCTGATTGGAACCCATGCAAATTGATCAACTGCTCGGGTACTTGCCAGTGCCCCCGTCCCCTGTTCAGTGGCCCTCCCTCCCCGATCAAGAAGAGTGTTTCGAGCGACAAAAAGTCGGGTGCCCCTTGACTCTGCCATGGGTCACTGAGCTGGGGAGGTGCAGTTCACTGGATGGGCAAACACGGCCGAACCAGAATCATAAAATTAGAACATATAGGCGTGTTTCTCCGAATTGGGGACCCCTTAGGTGTTCGTTGTTGGTTTCCCTTCAAACCCCATCCAAAAAAAGGCCCCTACTTTGAGAACCCCCCCATACTAGTTATGCACAAGACGTGGGTGAGGCAAAGAATGGGTAAAGGAGTCGGGAAAGCCAAAGGGGAAACTGGGGGCTCCAAGTAGCTTCCAAAGTTCGCAAGGGGCTTCACTTTTTTTCGTAAGGCGTTTGGGGCCATAGCCAAAGCCTCGCGCAACAGATGTTCGGGTCAGGGAAGACATGGAGCCAAACAAGCGAAAATGGTCTGCGCCAAAGAATGTGGATCTGAAGGGTTGACCACGCCCTGGTTGAAAACAGTGGCCCCCCTCCATGATGCTTCCTGAGCACGTTTTTTGGCCTTAACCCCCATTCTTTCTTTGGCTGGTTACCGATGGCCATGGACCGCTTTGGGGATTTGGGTTTTACCCAGTTGTTTTGGTGGGTAAGGGTTCCCTTTAAAGTCAACCAACCCAAAGCAAGATGCCTGTTTTTCCCATGGCCACCGGGCATCTGAGTAAAGGAACTATGCCAACACGGCCCACATCTTCGGAGTATTGACCAGCATAGGATATCCTCTGGTGGTTCACAGGAACCATCCCCAAAAAGAAACTTGAGAACCTGTCAAAGTTGAGATCCACCCGGCACAATACTGGAAGCTTCCCAAAAAAAGTCGTTGCGGGCGCCAGTTTGACAATTGTGAGAGTGGCCACTATCCTCAAACCACGACCTCCAGAGGAACGAGGTATATACCCTTTATTTGGCTGTATATGCCGTTGAACCCCTAGGGGTAGTGTCAACCATCTTAGACCACATGAAGGCACCCAGTTGTTCCAGCTTCTTTGCGCGGGGGTTTGCCTTTCAGACACAGCAGCTGGTTTTTGTTTGGACATCCTGTACCCCCGTTTTCTCCAAATACACAGTATGCTTGAGAGCCCAAGCAATTGGATAAAACAGTAAGACTTGTTTACAGGGCTAAATGATTCGTACTTAGTACAATTAAAACAAACGACCCAGTTCCAATCAGCGGCAAATGAATTGGATCCCTGATTAATTCAGCGTCCAGGGCAAATGATGAGTTAGCTCCTGATCTCGCAGAAGGCTCCAGGAATCTCTGTGTAGAACTTGCTGATGGTGCTTTAGAGAGTACGGGAAGGATCGATTGCGATCCCAGTTGGCTTAGGTCGCTTCGTCTCCCTGAATGCTCCTATTGCTCGAGGGTTTCTGCAAGAAGCCGAACCAATCTGGACGCTGTTTTTGACCCAGATCCCTTTGTTTCAGGCGCTTTGGTGTATGTTCTCAGGGACCCAGCTTTTTGCGACTCAGGAACTTGACTGCTATTGGTTTGGATTTTTAGACTTTAACTTTTTGATTGAAATCAAGTTGTGTTTTTTGCTAAACCCCCCAAAAAGTGAAAAATGGGGGGGGGGGTCGTTGCAGCAACGAAGCTTCACGGAAGGTCATGGCGCGCCTATCTACCTCGGGGGAGATGCTGGTGATGGCGGGGAGTCGCTGGGCTTCTGCTTGTTGGGCTTCTCGAGTTCTCGCGTCACGGGTGTCCTTTTTTGGTTCCTCTGGGTGGCTAAAAAACAGGCTTGGAGGAAACGGGCGGAAGGTCGACCTGGGCGGCGGGGGGGGGGGGGGGTTGGCTTTTTTTTGAGGGGGGATTGGGGGGTTTAGGCGGTTTAATTCGGGGTGTTTAGGGGTTTGGGTTCCTCATGGTTGCAGTTTTGTTGAATATCCTTCCACCAAGCAGCAACTTACATGATTCCATGTCTGAGCGCAGGCAACCAAGGGGACCGCCCCTTACAACGGAGAGAAAAGTGGGTGGTGGCCCACTACGGGAAATATGAAGCTTACCAGGGCATGCGGAGAGTGTCTAATTATTTGGGTTAGGCCTGAACATTGCCCTGGCTGACTAATTTGAAGAGCAATATCAATCCGGTGGGGGCATTGAGGTCAAGTTTGCGGTTTGGGTCCAAAAGGACGGGTATCAGCAGAGTTATGGGGCATGTTAAGCGTGAGACATTAGCGGGGGGTGTTTAATTGTTTCAATCTTGTGTGAAATGGACATCGTCTTGGTGAGGGGACTCGGGGGGGGGCAGGTTAGCATGAATCAGGGGGGATGACAACTCAGGTCCCAACAAAATTCGATTTAAGTTAGCACCATCTGGAATTGTCTGCTTTTCGACAGTCCGCCTCAGCGCCTCGCAGCTTCGCTGGAACTCCTCACTTCAAAGTTTCCAAGTCCGCGAGTGCTTCGGGCATCCCTGGGATGGGTGCTAGTCAAAATGTAGAACCCGCTTTTTGCAAAACGATCCCACCCCATTGTCCCCTGCTGTGGTTTGGGGGGAGGCTTGGATTTTTTAGCCGTTTTGGTCTTGGCAGCCCTATAAGCAAGGGTGGCAATACCACTGAGTCCCACAATTTGCCTAGGGAACAAGCGATGCACAGGATGCACACCCACACCCCTGAAGGACATGGGATTCGAACCTCCAACCAACCCGCCAAAAGCCCAGAATGAATTCTAGTCATTGAGAGTGATCTGTTTCGTTTGGGTGGTGTTTCTGAGATAGGTGCCCCTTTCTTGTGGCTTTGTACCCCTTTTTCGTTTTTTTGGTCCACCCTAGTTTTGTGGGTTTTAAAGGGAAACCACAAGGAACACCCGTCCCCAAAAAAGCAGACACCGGATGAACACCACTTCCCCCCCCAAAAAAAACAAAAGAAGAAGAGAAAAGACACGCAACTTCTATCGGGCAGGTTCAAACCGCCGCAGTGGCGGACGAAGAGAAGGAGCCCTTGATCAAGGAGATCGTGTCTGCCCTGACCAAGGCGCCACGAAAATTCGAGAGCGGGCCAGAGTGTCCTCGGGAAAACCGCGATCTCTTTTGGTTTCCCTTTAAAACCGCCCCAAAAAGGGTACACTCTAAAAAAGGCCCCCATCAGAATCTCTTGACTTGTTGGCAGCAGAGGTAGAAACGAGGAACCAATTTTGCATGCGGCTCGCTGAACATTTCCCCGAAAAGGAACATCGACCGTTTTCAGTTTTCGCCAAGTTGGTTCCATTCAGCGGCAGGACCTGGATGCCATGCGTGTTTTTGGCCTGTCCATGGAGCTGCTGTTTCAGCTTTGGATGGGTTCTTGTTCGGTTACGGGTATTGGCACGAAGAAGCTCAAAGCAGGTAGGGGATTCTCATTTGTAAAGCTCCCATGAAAGGAAGGTGTTTAGGCGAAACGGCCCTAACAAGTGGGTTGGCTGCGTGTAATTGAAAAGAAGGGAGAATCAAGCAAAAAAGAGCAAATCAAAGGAAAGAAAGAAAGGACATAAGAAAGAACAGGTGCTTTCATCCCGCGGCCGGGCAAGTAGGCCTCAAGGTGGGTGTGCCCCAGATGCCGGTTTCCTCCCTCTGGATTTCCAAGGGTGTTGCAAGGGAGCCCAATCTTCCGATTCACATCCAGGAAGATCAGATCAAAGTGGTCTCGATCTACCTTCAGTTCAATGACGAGGCAAGGAGTCGGGGTTTGGAATTCTCGCGATCGGGGAATTGCATTCCCAACCAATGACAGCAACGGACAATACCACCAGTCTGTTGTTCATCTGCAGAGGACATGATATTGGGGCCTACCCAATATTCCTGGTTTTTTCTCACAACAAGTAAAGTGCCTACCATTTGAGCCAACTGTAAATGTCCGTGATTTATATCCCCACCTTCAGAATGGAACCGGGATGTTGACTCCAGAAGATCTCCATTCATGGTTCCGTGTTCAGTTCCCTAGGGAACACTAGACAGAGCAGAAAGCCACCGAGGTTCCCATTCTTTTCAACCATCGTTCTTTTCAAAAACCGGTCGTTTTCACTGGGTTTCTTGAGGTTTTCTAGAAAGACGGATCCCTGGGTTCAGAATGAACATGGAAGGTACCCCTAGAAAAACAGCAGGTACCCTCAACAAAAAGACGGACCCGTATCAACCCGCCCGCAACACGGGCAGAGGTCTCCGATGCAGCGCGGCCCAACGCTCCGCTGGAGCTGATCCACGGCCAGAAGCAGCTCAGGCTGGCGGGTGTTTTTCGACGATCCCATTATGTCCTGTCTCTGTCTTGACTGCGGCTTTCATGCTTTTATTTAAGAAAAGGTAAACTTCTATGATAGATAAGATTGGTAATGAAATTTGATTGATGCGTTCATTCTTTGCATGCTTTTGTTGACATTACCTATCTTGTTTGGTACACTTCTTTTAATGTTGGATGGTCTTCACTCTAATGCACTTTTCGTTGATCCAATATTTGGGGGAGATCCTATAGTCTATCAACAGTTATTTTGTGTTTTTTTGACATCCAGAAGTTTACATCTTAATAATTCCTGCATTTGGAATCATTTCCATGATGATTTCTGGCATTTTACAGTTAGTAATCGTTGCTACTCAATCAATGACCTTTGCCATGTCATCTATTTCTCTTCTTGGAAGTCTTGTTTGGGGACATCATATACTGTAGGTTTACAAAGTGATACAAGAGCTCATTTTAGGAGTTACAATCTTACCAACTGGTACACAAATCTTGAATTGGCTTTTTACACTTCTCCAATCCATCATTATTTCACCTTAAAATTACTTCTGTCTTCTCCTTTCTCTTTTTAGTAATGTTTACTGAAATCATAGTGGTTTAAAATAGGTACCCTCCAAGCTTCCGTCAAGCGTGGTTTGATCCAAAGGGATACCTTGCCAACAAAAGCGGTTTGTGCACGTGTCTGCTGGATGACAACACCCTCCCTTTTGGCAAGGGATCCTTTGCACCACGCCATGCTTGTGGGTGAGAGGGCTTTATTGCGGTTGGGGGACCTGGGTTCCAACCAACCCATAACCAACCTTTGTCCGCATGGCGGCAGTGGGCAGGCCCTTTCAAATGGACTGAACTCTTGAAACCTTCTCATGGGTTGCAACCTCATTGAGGGTTTCTTTCCTGAGGGTCTTCAAAAAGGCGATGTTCAAGGTTCACTTGGCCACTTCAGCGGGCAATGATGCCTAGTTGTATCCATTCCCGGGCCCACGACCATGGCAACCCCAAGAAATCGGAACATGTGGTGGGATGTGTGTTTTTGGAGGGTACCGGGTCTAAAGCTTGAAGACAAAAACAACATGAAATCCAACATCCTGCTTAGGGTCCAACACCACAATTTAATGTAATTTCACACACACACACGCACGCACGCACGCCTTACGGGCTGATGTTGCCACGGGGGAATTTTGGTCATCTGGAATTGGGGAGGGGAGGGACCCCGAAACGAATCAAAAGGGAATTAAATCAACGATTTGTTCATATCAGCTGTTCATGTACGGATTCATACGGCGTTTTGAGGGCATATAGCAGGGAGGCGGCGGACATTCGTTGCATGCTCATTACATACTTTATGTATCAAGACCGGCTGGTTACATGCCCCCTCGTTACATACCTGTGTGACATAAACAAGACCACCTTGGCTGGTTGCATGCCCCTCGACGCATTCCCCGGTGCGCACCCAGACTTTGATTGAATTTTCAAGGGTGGTTGGAGAACAGACGTTTGCAGAGCATGATTCTTGCTGCACATACCTGTGCAAAGTCAACTTGCAGAGCTTGCCCTTCAGAAGAAGAACAGCTCGAACAACTAACAACGAGGCGCAGGAAGAATCCTCTTGCTGTGCTGAGCATCGTTACACACCTCGTTACATGGTCGTTCGTTGCGCATCTTGTTACGTAGCCCAGTCTGGGCCTAGGTGCAGCGACCCCCATTTTTTTTGCCCGTCCCGGCTTGTGTGTGCTTTGTGTACTGCACGTGCAATGCATGGGTGCGATTTTCGAGCTGGAGCTGCGGAAGTGTCAAGCACTTGCCCGTCACATACCTACGTGGCAAGTAGCCTCGTTACATTCCTCTGGAACAAGATTCGTGCCGTGCCGCGCGTCACATACCGTCAAACCATCATTATCACGTTGCATTTCCCGAGACACGGCGTCTTACTTTGCCGGTATTTGATTTTGCTGTGTGTTTAGACTTGGAACCAAGACCAGAAACATGGATCCCCTAAAACATGTCTAGCAAAGGGTCCCTAAATTGAAATGCACGGCCATGGGTTGAGGCAAGGCGCAACGCGCGCGCCGGCATCGAAGCATCGGAGGATGCGGCTGCTGGGCCTGGACTTCGACATCGGGCCCTTGTCTTTTTACCAGGCGGGCCTCCTTGGCTTGGGTGCCAGAAATATATCCCCTCGGTTTCAATTGCACACGCTTGGCTTCAGGCGAGTTCCAAGATACGCTTGGGAAGCTAAGGGAAACCAGAAGGACAGGCGCCTGTTTGGGGGTCCAACTCCAAAAAGATGACCGTTTCGTGCCCACTCCAAGCGGTTTCCGGGAACGGTTAGGACCCCCTCCCCCCAAGAAGCGGAGGAAGGGTCTGCTGGGATGTCCCCGAGCATTATGCAAAAGGCCGCGTGGGCCAGGACCGAGTTAGTTTGGCTTTAAATAGATGGCACTGGTTCAGAGAAGTTTTATTCCGTTTATCAAGGCCATCTATTTCTTCAAGAGGTCGCCTATGGTTGGCCATTGGCCGGTGTCTAGGGGGTTCTATATTCGCTTGAAGCCACGGTTCCGTCAAATTCGGCTTCACTTGCGAGGGTGTAGAGCACTGTTGAGTCCACTGGCTCCCTGGCTTGGATCCGCTTCTCTTTCGATTTGCTTCCAAATCAGACCCCAAAGACCCAATTTGGAGTCGGGGCTGGGGCTCGGTTTTGGGGGCCCCCGGAAGTGGGCAAAATGTGATGAAATAAGTCTGTTAGTTTGATTGATTTAATAGAAGCCAACAGTATTTCGACTGGTTAAACCAATGGCGCTTGGGGCTGCTTGACGTTTGCATTTTTGAATCCACCTTTTGCAACCTGAAAATCAACCGATCGAGTCATTCATCCGAGCGGCTCGAGGCCAACAGCCGCACCTGCGAGCTCCTTTATGGGCGTGCCTTGGAGTGGCTGAGGCCGGAGAACGTCCGGAGTCCCGGACCTTGGAGGTGACGTTGACCTCTGGGATCTCTGTGCTTCAGTTTTTGCGTTTTGGTGTTCCCCTGAAGGGGTGGTTCTCCCTTTGGTTTCCCGTTAAGGCACCCGAAACTTAGTATCCTGGAAAGACAAACCCGCATCAGCGATGTTGGGCTCGCCATTTTTGAACAAGGGATATGTTGGTTTCGTTGGGGGCAGGCAGGGCAAAGCTGAGGCCAAGAAGGGATTGCGCATCCTTTTGTGCCGGGAAGGTATTGGTCTCACGACCCACCATTCTGAGAGGGGGTCGCCTGTTGCCACTTCAGCTGGGTGTTTCTATCCCAAGAAAGGTAGGTACATCCCAGCGGGCATGTTCACCCACATGTTTCGACACGGGCAAACTTATCCCCATGACTGACCATATGCATTTCCCAGTCATCCGAGCCTCAAGACGATCGACTCAAAAGCCCATGCCTCGGCCCGCCCCAAAAGCTCACAGTTCAACCGACCAATTTGGGTTCTCAAAAATGGCGAGCCCAAAGTGGCTAAAGTGGGTTTGTCTTTCGAGGATACATTAAGTTTCGGGTGCCTTAAAGGGAAACCAAGGGAAAACCGCCGATTCAGGGGGGGGGCCTTATTTGAAGACACCCCCATAGCGGTCGGCCTTCCATGGGAACCCAGCAATATACCCCCAGTTGATTTTAAGGGTGTCACATTTTAGAGGTCACTTTGGGGGAGGCACTGGGTTAATCAATCCGGGCTCCGTGCAAAGAATATGAGGAAACAACCATCACAGGGAAAACAACAGGTTGTTTCAACAGTTTGGTGGTAGCCATTCTTCAAAGAGGTCACCCACAATTTCGGTAAATGAAGGTAACGGGCATGTGCGCACTAAATTATCTCACCACTCTTCACCCATTCTGATCCGAATCTAACCATCTCCATCCGAAGGTTTGCCTATTTTCTTTGCGCAGCATCCCTGAATGGAAGCAGAGGGCGGTTTCTTCGACCCCTGAAGATCAGGCAATCCTTACTGGGTGCTCTGGCTTGGTGGTTTGGACGTCACGGGCTACTTGCCCCATTTGGCTTTCAGAAGGAGCTGAAAGTCACATCCAACCCGCCAAGTCGCGAATCGAAACCACCAAGCCGCCACAGGGGAAGCTGAGAACAGGTACTGTGGACGAATTGTCGCACCACTTGGAGGAACCATCATTCGAGATTTTGATTTTCAGGTGCTGCGCGATGGATTTCCTCCATCCCCAGCATGGCTTCCAGATTTGTTCAGGTGCTGCGCGATGCATTTCCTCCATCCGCATGGCACCTTTCCGCACCACCCCAAACCCCCCCCCCGAACCAAACCACAGCGATCGATCGATGCCGCGGGCTTCAAGGAGATCGCCATGCTGGACGTGTGCTGCGGCGCCTGTGGGCTCAGAGTCGAAGCCGTTTGACTCGGATCCGAAGTGTGAAAACCCCCCAAAACCCTCCCCCCCCCGGCCACCAAAATTGGCAATTGATCCAGGTTTTGTTTGGGGAATGACATGGAGCTCGAGGCAAAGCGGTTCTGTTTGTCCAGATTTCGGGTCGCTGGGCTGGGAAGAAGAAGTGGTTTGGAGTTTGGAGAAGGAGATGTTAGGAGCTACCTTCCCTTAGCTTACCCCTGAGTGGCTCGTTGTGGTGCAGGTTGGCGATTTGATCAACCCGAAAGCGACCAGTTGCTCGTATCCGGCTTTGAGATCGCACATGAGGCTGGGTGAAATCCCGGCTAAAGTCGTTTTCTTTGCTTGGCATCTGGGACAAATCCAAGAGAAGTTCCTATTGGGTAGTACAGAAGCAGTGTAACACTTGGACAGGACCTGTGCAGACGAGATCCTTTCATAAGTTTCAACAACGTTAGTATAGTAACGGTTCAGTGCACCCCCTGCCAGCTGGGCGAGCATTAAGATTGCCTGAACAGACTGGCCCCTTCATGTTGGAGAAGACTGGAGGCGTTCCTCTTCCCAGCTTCCTCACTGCCCAGAAGCTGAACACAGGCGTGTACGCGTACCCATGCATCAACGACGGAACACGCGCCCGGAACGTCTACCCGACTTCGGGCACCGACAAGAAGTGAGGCACCAAGACAACACTTCAGGATGCGTAGTTGAGAACTTCACCTGATGTCCTGTTCGTCGGAACGTGGCCGGGACCATCTCGCGACATGACAACTGATGAACAAGACAAGTGCTCAGCGTGGGAGAAGCTCCTCCTTGAGTGCGAGCAACAGGGCCTCTTCAGCTCTTCCACGCAGCATGCCGTCGGCGAGTTGATCATGACTCTCTGGGTGATCTGTTTCCATGGTTGAGGAGCGCAGGGTTCTCTCTCTGTCACGATCTTGCCTGAAGGTGACCAAGCCACGACAGAGAGAACTTCCTACATAGGTGGTTTTCATGTGGATGATTAAGAAACAAAGTGAGCTATTTACAACCAATGGAACCACCCCATGCTCACGACTCCATATATACTTTTGGGTTGGACAGTTTTAGGTGCAAACAAAGTCTGGACTTTCTTTGGCAAATTCACTCAAGTGATTTAGGCAGGGGTCCTTATATGTCCCTTTCTCGTGGTTTTAAACATCACCTTTTTGGCCCATGAAAGGTGAGTGTCCCTTGGGGGTGATGTTTAAAGGGGAAATATAGGGAGCCCCGTTTGGAACCAAAGTCGACACCACTACGACGTGTCTGTTTCCTCAAGGTATAGAGCAACCGCTCGTAGGGTCTTTGCCTCCATGGTTGTTGCACAGCTTTCGAAGTCAGACTTCCATGGAAGGTGCAAGAAGGCCTCTATAAATGGAACCAAGTCCAAAGTGCAGGGAGCTTCCATGGAATTGCTTGGGGGAAGGGCACACCATCTTCCATGTGCGTTTCAGACTACTTTCTTGCTATTTCCCCTTTTTAAAAAATCTTACATGTTTATTCGATGTATCAGCACTGAGCATATGTTTTGTTCCTTTTTTGGCCGCGAAAACACGTTTTTTTCCATTTGTCCCAGCGGAAAAACGCGAAAACGAAATTTCGGCGCGGCGGACGCGGACGGGATTGGTGTTCCAAGTCTCCGAGGTAGGGACCATTGGGCTCTGCGCCAGCCGGCGCTGCAAGAAAGTGGTGGGCATCGAGCTGGTGCCGGAGGCGAAACGAGCGCCGACAGCCTGGGGCTTGGCTTGAAAACGAGCGCATTAGAATGGCTGCGACGTGTTTTTTCTCTTTATTTTCTTCTTTGGGATCCTGGTGTGTGTGTGTGTGTGTTTTGTTTTCCAGGGTACCCTTTTGTGGGGTTGCTTTCAAGGGAAACCTTGAGGCAAACCAACATTCCGGCAACCCATGAGGGGATGGTTTGAAGTGCAGAGGTTTGGATTTGGATTTGAAGTCCTGGCTGTTGTGGGTGAATGGGAAACCCCTCCACGGGAGGGAAGCTGACAAGGAGCTGGTATCGAAATTTGGGAAGGGAGGTCAGGAAATCAGGGGTTCTGTCGGGACAGTTGTCCCAGAGCATCCTTTCAATCCAAGGACTTTGTGGTCTTCCCCACAAAGTGTTCGTGCGGTCTGATGCATATGCTCGGCCGTATGGCGGAGAGACGCTTTTCTTAAGAAAAGCCTCCCAAGCTCCAAAGCAACAGGGACCAAGGACTGCACCGCGCACGACCGCGCATGTTGAAGGCTCGGGGCTCCAAAACCTGTTTCTGAGACACCTCAATTCCCACAGAAGCGCAGTTTTGCTTGCTGATGTCAATTGTGGTTTTGTTTTAGGCTTCATGGTTTGGAGTTGATTGCTTTCAACATGCCTTTGGGGATGTCAAACATCGTGTCCGGTTTTGGCCGGTTTGGCCTTTTGACACCTCTCAAAGGGGATGCCTACTGATTGTGTCAAACCGCCATGTCCGTTCCCCCTGCTTGATGCAGGCTGGAGCTTTCAGCCGTTGTGTTCTCATTGCTTGCATTTGCTCAAGAATATGTTTAATTTTCCCCTGTTGGGGTTCAAGGAAATCTAGGGAATATGTTTATGTGTTCCAGGGAACTCAAGCAAATGAAAGTGTGTGTTTTTCTAGCTGGTGTGAGACATGCTGCGAGGACCTCACTTTTAGACACCACTTGTGGCAGTAGACAAAGTTTACTTGTTTGAGGACACAAACCAAAGTTTGAAAATCTTTCGTCATTGGACCTGGTCCAAGCTCGCGTCTGAATGACTGTTTGGGTGTTCATTTAAGGTTGCTATTCTTAGTACCTAGCCAACACTGGGTCACTGGGTCGTGCATGTTTACCCGCTCTCAATTATCTTGCCTATCTCAGGCATTTGGTCCAGTTCTAAACAGCTTGCCATTTCCACGATTAGATATCAGAGACTCAAAGACCGGTTTGGCCAAAACGCGGGTAGAGTCTTGCCCAAGCCCCACAAAAGCCGAGCCTTGCAAAAACCACTGGCAAAGACTGGGCCTCATGTTTCCATATCCTCTGGGGGCAATCTTCAGAACCAGGTGGTGGGTTTGGCCACCAACTCTTCGTGAGTCTTGACCAGAATGGTGTGGCCGTGTGGCCAGCTCTTGGACATATGGGTATGTGTCAAAGTAGGAGGGCGCCCCAAAATTATGAGGTATGTTGTGGTTTCGTCCTGGTTTGCCTCTGAACCAACCGAAAAAAAGCCCCTCCCCCCCCGCCCCCAAAAAAGAAACATATCGTGGTTTCTTCCGGATTTTCCTCCTAACCTAATATGGGTTCCCCCCCCAACCACAAAAACAAACAAACGAAGAAACGGAAAGGCTGTTATTGTCCCCCTCCCCCCCCAAGAGAAAAAAAACGCGAGGAAGGGACGCGCCGCATTGGAATCGCGTCAGGCCGTCGAGTCCGCAAAGGCCAACGCCGCCCTTCGCCCAATTTCGGCCTTGCGCGGGCAGGGGGTTACAGGGTCGCCGGCCTTGCGCCTGCAGTGAGAAGCAGCCAAAAAGCTTTGTGAATTGTCTATCTTAGGTGGGTTTAACTCCCTGTTTTTGGGGGGTGTGGTATATTGTCATGGAAAGGCCAGGAGAAAATATGCATAACCATGAATTTGTTATAGAAGCAACAGTCCATGGTGTTGGGCGCTGCTCGATTGGTTTCTTGGGTTGGGTTGACTAGGAGGTTTTCAGAGGCCCTCGCGTTTGCAGGGCGTGTTTCTCTCACAAGGTCATGGTGAAGCCACTGACTCAACCAGAGTCCGAAACTTGGGGATACCTCAAGAAATGGTGAGTGTTCCTTGTGGATTCAATTGAACAATTGCAAGAGGGTATGTATCAGGTGGGACCCTTGACATGCCTGTTCTTCAATAGGAATAACCCGACATTCAATATACTGACACTGAGAACCAGCAAGCCAAAAACGGGCAGAGATTTCAAAGGAAACCATGCCATTCTTGGGGGTGCGTGTCCGAATGACACCTCCATGGTCCAGAGACCTGTCGCTAAGCAACAAGCTCCAGGAAGAAAAAAAACATGGGTGCGTCATTCATTTTCATGTCGTATCTGAAAGGGGAACACCGTAGCCGACAGGGGCTCCGCTTCCTCCACAGATCTCCAGAGTGAAAATCTTGGAGCGTGAGGCCTTGAACAAGGTCGACAATACCGAATGGGTCGCAGCGCGCTAAGGGCCGCACTTCGAGACAGTTCGAAGGGGATCTCTTTTGAATGGTTTTGCAGAATTGAAAAGGGAATCAGATGGATTTGTCATTTGAAAGGGATCTCTGTTCAATGTGTTTCGAAGGGAATCAAATTGATAGTTGTTGGCCCGATGGATTTTCCAGAGAAACAGAATGTCAAGTGTCTCATAGCCAGACAAGAGGGGTCAGATTCCGCCCAAGCAGATCTATCGCCACTTGTTTGCCGGAGAATCAATGGTTGACTTGGCTGCCTATTTGCCCAAGCGAGTGTGATTGTCTAACATACTCAAGGGAGTTGTGGCCACACGAGAAATTGGGAATCGTAAGATTGGTCAAGGACCCTCTTTGGACTGGTGTTAGGGTCAATAGGAAGCCGACCAGCTTCAGGGGTGCGTTCCCTAAGTTCTGCCAAGCCCAAGAGTCAAGCCAAGCTCACTATGAAAGTCAACTGGGGATGTTTAGATTCAGGTTTTGGAGAACAGGACACACGGGATGTTTAATTTCAATTGGGGATGTTTAAGGAACCATTCACACGGGCAGCTGCAGAAGCAAGGCAGGCACGCCCTCGACTTTGCTGATAGGGTTTAACCGAGGGATCGCTGCCGTAGAACCTACCAGAGGCGCGGTCGATTAGAAGAACACCGCGTTCCAGGACCAACGAGTGAGGTTCCATGGAAATGGGGGTTGGTCAAAAGGTCCTTTACATGGGATGACCATTGGGGAAAGTTACCGCATCCGTCATTGGGGGGCTAAATGGAATATTGGTCAACCCCCAAATGGACGGCACAACATGGTTTGCCTTTTCCATTGTTGGGATGAATAAGCAGCCCCCCTGCATAGAAACCCTTTTCGAGGGAGGCTGTTTATCTCAGTGGAAAAGGCAAGGTCCCCCAAATGGATGGAAGACTTCGAAACCAAATCTGAAAGCTTTGATCCCAGGTGAGCCACGTTTTTTTGCTCATGACTCAGGTGGGAAGAGCGGAGGAGGTGCTTCCGAAGCTTTTGCAGGAGCCAGGGGCTCAGGACTCAGGATCCGGCCCTGGCAGGCGGAAGAGACCTGCAGTGGGTCCATCTTTCTCCCAGTCCAATCCAGTGGGCTTGGTGGGAGAAAAGAAAAAGATGCGAACCACCAGCTCCACCTCGGGGGACGCCATTTTGTCTCAAAAAAAAATGCCCGGGCTTGGGACGTTCGTGGCGCAGGCCTCACCTTGAAAATGCTGAGGGTGGCCAGAGGTTCGTGGAAGGTCTCACCACCGGTTCGGACTCGGTGGTGGAGTCCTTGTTCGACATCGGTTTCGCTTTGCAGCACACCTGGCGCCATGGCTGGGCTGCTTACACCCGGCCGGAGCAGCTGATTTGACAACTTTGCTAGGTCCAGCAATTGGTGCCAACTTGTTCACCGTTCCTTTTTTTTGGGGCTTTGGGTTCCCCTGCTAAAATAGACTACAGCAACAAGAGTTGGTGCCAACTTCTTCTATCCTCTCAAAACTGGAGGACCTAGTTACCTAGTTTACGCAAGGGGTTCATGGCGTAATCGGACCTGGGCGATGCTTCACTTTTAGCCGGGCGGATTTGAGACTTCCATGCTGCTGCCTTGTTTTATTTTTTGCCTTTTGACTCAGGAAGTGAGCTGTGGAGCTAGAGCCGAGGAAGATTCCACGCGGAGCATCTGCTCAGCCCAACTCCCCTGGGCCCAAACAGATTTTGGGACGCGCGTGCCTTCATGGCCCACAGCACCAACATTGCACCAGCACGACGCGATAGAAATGGCTGCTTCCCAAAGGAAGCCCCAGCCATGAGCTTTTATCAACCCCCCAAGCTTTGATCGTTCAGGTACCTGGAACCCCGAGTGGCGACTTCTTTCCAGCCACTCTAACCACCAGCCCACAATTTGGCAAAAGTAGCGGGAAAACAAGGGCAACTGGGGATCTAGGTACCGCCAAAGGAGCAACCCGGGATCCGCCCTTGTCCCATTTTACGCCTATCGCCCACTTTCTGTTGACTTCTGTTGATCGGCCCTACCCTGGGGGGCTGAAAACAGGTCCGGCGTGAGACCTATCGCATCCGATCGCGCTGCTTGCATTTTCCCAGCTTTGCGCGTAGTCGGTTTGCCTCTACCGCACAAATGCAGCAGTGAACACCTGGCGAGAACACAGCATCATGTCCCACAACTCACTTCCTGAGTGGACTGGCCAACAGTCCAAACTTTGCATTTACCACTAAAATGGTCCCATCCCCAAAAAGTGACTACAGTCCGAAACGGAACTCGGGAAGTCAAAAAAACAAAAACAAAGAACTACGGGGCCTGAATCAAACGCAGACCGTGGCAGAGTGGTGTTGGGGGCACGGGGTCGAAAGGCGTCCCCAAGGGCGCTTCCTGAGGTTGGATCCGGAGCTGGAGGTGTGCGCAGTCGGGCAGCTCGAAGGGCTTGTTTCTCTCTTTTATTCCCCAGCTGAAAGCTTTGGGGTCTCAGCCCAGATAGGCTCCGGGGTGGTCCGGGGTAGCCCTGAGGTAAGGCTCTACAAGGGTTCCACCAGGGTTCCACCAGGGTTCCACGAGAGTTCCACGAGGTTATGTGAGGGCTGCGGGGAAAAGAGCACCGCATGCTGTTGGGGATATCACCTGAGCTTATTTCAGGTTTTTTTTTTTTCCAGCCGAAATCGCTTCCCCGCAAGGGTGTTTTGGTTTCCCCTGCCGATTGATGTTGGGCCCGCAAACAGCCAGGTTTTGAGACCCCGAAACCCCTCTGGGGTTCTGGGTCTGAGTCGTCCATTGGAAGCCCCAGGAGCGTCTGGGTGCAGAAGCTTGACTTAGAAGAAAGCAGAATACATTTTGTTTTTTGGCGCCGGGCTTTTGGAAGCCATGCCTTGGGTTCTGTTGCGGGGTAGCCTATTCTTGGAAACACTGCCAGGCTGAGGAGGTTCCCGTCTGATTTCGCGAAGTTGCGTGACATTTTCATAGTGGTAGTGCCGAAGGTGTGAGTGTTATTTCGTGTTGCAAAACGCGATATACTGTGTGCGCGCCTTTAGCAACGATGGCTTCTGATTGATCCCAGCATGCGAGTCCTCTCCTAAGATTCCTTTGTTCCAAAAGACCCTGTGGCTGGGGTTCATTTCGGTCGACTTGGGTGTTGTTGTTGACGCCCGGAAACACGCGATGTGCCCATTTGGTTTCCCTTTAGCCACGCACTCTTCGGGAAGACAGTTTGGGTTTGTTTGGCCGATCCACAGACTGTCACCCACAAAGGGGTCTCCTTTCGGAAGCTCCGCTGATGAGTGGCGCGCTTCAAGTTCCCTTTCGCTCGGTCAGCTTCCCACCATAGGTTTGTCTCAGAATGTTGGACCCTTTTTGGTTCGGCAGAAAAGCCCTGTATGTCTCTTTGTTGGCGGTTTTAAGCATCACCTTCTTGGCCCAAAGGTGAGCGTCCCTTGGTTCGGTTTTTGCCTACGGACGGTGCCCTTGGCTCCAAGCTGCGAGGTGGTGGACCCTCCCCGCGCCGGGCTCCACACCACGGTGCTGCGGGCGCTGAGGACGCCTTCGAGCCGCCTTCAAGCCGTAGGCATAGGTGTCCGTTTTTTACTTCCATTGGCTTAAGAATATGTGTTTAATCTTCCCTTGTTGGTTTTTAAGGGAATCTATCACCTCTGGACATATGTTTAATTTCTCTTGGGGGCTTATGCAAATGGAAGCTTAGGTTAGCTTGGTTTAACATAGATGGCACTGCAGTTTTGATGGGTTTTGTTTCATTTACCAGGGCCATCTATTTTTCCAAAAGGGACTTCGCCCCCAGGAAGGAGCTAAAACACCGAAACGCCCCTTGTTCTCAAAGGAAATCCAAGGGATGATTTAAACAGAAATGACAGTCATGTTCGAAGACGGGTTTTGCCATGATTGTACTCGGTTTTGACCTAGCGGTGCTTTCGGCTAATCACTGGGGCCCCGCTACCCAACGTACCCTTCTAAACACGTCCTGTGTTGCGGGCCCAGACTGCTCCAACCCGGAGGCAGCTCAACCTAGGCAACTAGTTGGATTTGGGTTGCCCTACTCGCCTACCAAAGAGGCCCCCAGTCAGCATTCGACTGAACCTCTCCTGAGTTTCATGTGGTGAGTCGCAAGCAAACAGTTCTTCTTTTTTTCCCAAGCCATCCAAGAAGAGAGACCAAGCCGCTGAATGTAGCAACCGCTTTCAAGTGTGCAGCGGCCGTTTGGAGATGTCTGCTGCTTTCGACCCAGGAGCTGTTCGCAGCTGCTGGGACCCTTGAGCGTGCTCCAGGGGGTGGTGCTCAGGTGGCCCTTGATTGGTGGTTTGGGGCTCTAAACCGCAGTTCCTTCCAAACACCAAATGGGAAAGGTGCTCTATGTAAGGCAAGGACACCCAACCTCACTGCATCGCAAAGCCATGGTAGATGTTCGGTCAAGCAGAGGCTGTTTATCGGAACCCCGAACCACAATTTTCCGGCATGCCGGGGTCGAGGGCTGTCCCTTGAAACCCATTTCCGAGAGTCGCTTTCATGGAGACTAAGCCTATAGGTCCCCCCCAGCTAGGTGCCAACTTTTACCAGCTTTTTTGGGGCCGGGTCCCCTACTAAAGTAGACTACAGATTATTAAAAAAAAAAAAACGGGTACACTTATTCGAACCTCTCCACTGACAAAACCTATTATCTCTGGACTCGCTGAGGTCACGCATGGTCTACGTGAGCTGCAACCCTGACTCCTTGGTGGAGGAGTGTCCCTCGGGCGCGTCTGCCATGTGAATGCCCAGGTTTCGGGTTTCAGACAAGTCGCCCCTTAGGGCCTACAAAATCGAATGGGGCAAGTTTTGCACGCGTTGCCTCATGATGGGGGATCACTCTTGTAACTTTTCAACAAGGCGCCTATTTGTTGATGTGTTTTTTTGGTTGCTTGGTGTTGCTTGCTCTTCATCTTGACCATTTGCCAGCTTGGGATTGATTCAGCCTCCGCACAGAATCAAATTGCTCTTGGAAAGGTGAACCCCCGAAAAGCGTCAAGAAAAAAAAGGTTTGCCTGTTGTTTGGCCGTTGGTATTGGGGAGCTAAGGAGCCAGATAGATTCCTGTTGGCGGGGTCTTTTTCAGGGAAGCCGGCAGACCGATGGAAAACTGAAGACCATTTTGAGACAAGCCCGTGTTCAACTGTGAGAACCTTCAGTTGCGTTGTGGTGTGGGATTCAAGCTTCTTTTCTTGGTGGTTGAGAAGAAAGATGTCAGAGACCCCACCACCCGAAGACCCATAACCCTAACCCACGCGAGGGTAGTATTTATAAGCCCTAAGATAATAATGTCCCTTCCCTTTCCGAGGGGCAAACTTCGTGAAGGAGCATAGCAAGTAGTCGGCTCACGAGAGGCAGCTGCTTCGGGCAACTCGAGTGTCGCAGGCAAAGGACCGGTCCGAATGCACGCGGAAGCGGCACACGCTCTTGGGCTTCGGCCGCGCTTCCTTTTCAGGACATCATCAAGCTCACTTTGCCCTCTGAGAGCGATGAGGCAAGCAGAAATTGGGAAGGGCGGGGACTAATTATGGGGGCTACCCTTCCTTCGGTGTCCAAACTTTTGTAGAACTCGTTACGGGCGAAAGATTCAAACTTTTTGCGGCCTTTCCACTCAGGCCAAATTCCGGCACCACAAACCTGTTAATGTTCGTTGTTGGCCTCCTTTTGCTCTCCGCCATCCAAAGGGGTGACGCATCAGACCCATTCATTGTTCTGGTTGCAGAAAAACGAAAAAGCGCTTCCAGTGGGGGGGTGTCATCGCTTTTCATTGTCCATAAACTCAGTTGCCCAAAGCGAATCGACCTTTTGACCTTTTATGATTTTCCAGTTTTGATCCATTTTTGGTCATGGCCCCAAAAGGTGATCACCTTTATACCTGGGTCCCTTTCTGGGGCAGCTGAGTAGAACCGTCGTGTGGCTGAACTTCAACGGGAGCCGCGCAATGTTTGGTGTTCGTCCCACGTCGATGTCCACCGCAGGCTCCCAAGCTGGGTCCATTTGTGGCGGTGTTTCCCATTTTGAGGGTTCTCAAAACGGGTATGGGTCAGAATGAAACCACCAGGCGACCGCAGGCTTTAGTCCTTGGTGGGTTCCATTTTGGGAACCAGTTCTTGACCCACACCCAAATGATTCCTCAATTATTGACACTATGGGGGCAAATTGACAGGTGCAACTTTAATGAACCCCAGCTTCAACATGGAATCTTCTAGTTGCATCCGTGTTTTTCAGGGGGTCCAAGAAAATCCGGCTCACCAAGGGGATGTTTCAAGTCAGCAAAACGGGGCACGCCGGGAGCCTCTGGCCCAGGCTGGAACCAGGTGAAGTCACACTTACTGTGGATGGTTGCGAAATCCTACACCACGTTGAAACCATGGTTGAACCCATTGTTCGCTGGTATCTACAGGGGAATCGCATCATTCCAAGTTTCTCAGGTGGCGAACTGGATTTCGTCCATTCACAGTATCTTGGTGAATTATAGCAACCTCACACGACCGAATTCACCCCAAATGGTGGTTTATGTGGGGAGTAGCCTCACCTTATTTCAGGTTGGCGAAATATTTTTTGATTCACCCCTAAACCCTAAACCCGCCCAGACAGGATGTGGATTTTTTTCCAACCGCTGCCAGGATCCCTTCGTGCCCTTGCGCGCCGTGGCGGTCGCACGGGCCTCAGACACGAAATCCATCTCGATCGCTCGGTCGCTGGGCTTGCCTCGAACTCCGGAGCCGCGATGCTGGGTTTGCCTCGAAAACCCCACGGGTTGGCGTGAAAAAGTTGGATTTGATGGTCACATGATCAAAATTCCGTATCCTTTAAACCTTCTATAAGTTTTTGTATTACCTTTATATATCCTTTGGGTATCCCCTATTTTGACACAGCCTAAAACATGACTTAGTTTGGTTTGAAAGTTTGTCGCCGAAAGTCCCCAAGCGGGGCCTTGTGTTATCTCCTGTTTTCCTTGTTTCGCAATCTTGGCTTCGGGGGGTTCCTTCGTGTCCCTTCTTTCTTACGATTTCTTTGTCCAGGGCATGGTAGTCTTGCCAAGTTCCTCCCCTTCCCTTGCAACAACTTTGAGACGCAATTGACCCAAGCTTTACTTGGCCAATCGCCATCCTTAACCCATCCTTAAGATGCGATTTTTCCACCCCAAAGCCATTCCTGAAGGCCCTCAACCCGCCAGCCCAGTCTTGATACCACCAGTTGCCACCCTGTCCAGAGGGCATACTGAGCCTTTGGTTGTTCAAAATCAATCCCTCATCCTTCTGCTAGACGGCGGCGGCCTCCCTGGTCCCACTGCGGATTAGGGAGTCTGCGCCAATTGATTGCAAACAACACAGTTTCTTTGGTGCATGTTGTTGGACGATAGGACTTTAACTTTTTGCCAACTATTGGGTTTTCCAATTAAACCACTAAAAGTTAAACTTTTAGCAGGGGAGCAGAAAGCAACCGAGGTTTGTTTGCATCTCTTGCTCCCCCCAACATGGTCAACCCAAACAGGTGGGTCACCGGGCAACTGGATGCCGCACCAGATTCCACACCCAGCCCAAATCCAGGACATGTTCCCCCACACGCTGCACTGCGAGATGATTCTTCTCTTGGAACGGTCTTCGAAGGCAAGGCCATGGTCAATCAGATAGTTGTGTGTGTGTGTCTCTGCGCGTGCGTGTTTCTGTGTCACTTCGTGCGTATTTGGGTGTGTGTGCGTGGGCGTGCGTGCGGGCCTGAATGTGCGTGTGCTTGCGAGCGCTTGCTTGCGTGCGTGCGTGCCTGCAAGCGTGCAAGCGTGCGTTTGTGCGTCCTGTTTGTCTGTGTGTCTGTCTGTGTCTGTCTGTGTCTGTCTGTGTCCGTCTGTCTGTCTGTCTGTCTGTCTGTCTGTGTCTGTCTGTCTGTCTGTCTGTCTGTCTGTCTGTCTGTCTATCTGTCTGTCTGTCTGTCTGTCTGTCTGTCTGTCTGTCTGTCTGTCTGTCTGTCTGTCTGTCTAACTCTCTGTCTGTCTGTCTGTCTGTGTGTGTGTCTGTGTGTGTGTGTGTTGCTGTGCGTGTGCGTGTGTGCGTGTGTGCATGTGTGTGCATGTGTGTGTGTGTGTGTGTGTGTGTGTGTGTGTGTGTGCATGTGTGTGTGTGTGCGCGTGTGCGCGTGTGCGCGTGTGCGTGTGTGTGTGTGTGTGTGTGTGCGTGGGCGTGGGCGTGCGCGTGGGCGTGCGCGTGCGCGTGCGCGTGCGCGTGTGCGTGTGCGTGTGCGTGTGCGTGTGCGTGTGCGTGTGCGTGTGCGTGTGCGTGTGCGTGTGCGTGTGCGTGTGCGTGTGCGTGTGCGTGTGCGTGTGCGTGTGCGTGTGCGTGTGCGTGTGCGTGTGCGTGTGCGTGTGCGTGTGCGTGTGCGTGTGCGTGTGCGTGTGCGTGTGCGTGTGCGTGTGCGTGTGCGTGTGCGTGTGCGTGTGCGTGTGCGTGTGCGTGTGCGTGTGCGTGTGCGTGTGCGTGTGCGTGTGCGTGTGCGTGTGCGTGTGCGTGTGCGCGCGTGCGTGCGTGCGTGCGTGCGTGCGTGCGTGGGTGTGTGTGTGTGTGTGTGTGTGTGTGTGTGTGTTTGCTTTTGCTTTTGTTTTTGGTTTTGTTTTTGTGCGTTTGTGTGCGTGTGAGCGTAGGAGTGAGTGTGCTAGTGCTTTTGCTTTTGCTTGTGCTTGTGTGTGTGTGTGTGTGCGTGGTGGTGTGTGTGCGTGTGTGTGCGCACGTGTGCGTGTGCATGTGTGCATGTGTGTTGTGTGGTGTGGTTTGGTGAGGTGTGGCGGAGTTTGTTTGTGTTTGTGCTTGTGCTTGTGTTGCTGTGTGTGTGTGTGTGCGTGTGTGCGTGTGTGTGTTTTTGTGCGAGTGTTGTTTGTTTGCTTGCTTGCTTGTTTCCATTTCAAGGGTACGTTTGTTGCCTCAAGCGGAAACCGAAAGGAACTCCAGCATTTTGGGGTGTTCCCCTATTCCGACATGCTCTTTGTGTGTGTGTGTGTGTGCGTATTTGTGTTCGTGTGTTTGCGTTTGTCTATGTCTGTGTCTGTGTCTTTTGTGTTTGCCTGCGAGCGCGCGTAAATCTGTACCGTGTTTGGCAGAAAGTGGAAGCGCTAACGGCTGCACGATGCCGCGTGTGCTTTTGCGCCACGAAATCTTTGGTGCATTTTGTTTGGATGTTAGGACTTTAGTTGCGCCTGCTAATGGAACAAAATTGTTCATCCACTAAAAGAAAGCTTTTGCTGGAAAGACTTGTCATCTTTGCGGAATCATGATCCTGCAAAAGCGGAAAAAGGTGTCCTGTCTGAAATGAAACATCACTGCTTCTGAGTAAAGCCTACCTTGAAAAGTAGCAAGAAGTAGAGAAACCGCTTCCTTTCTCAAGGCCTCCTTTCTAAAACTCTTTCTAAGACTCCTTTCTAAGGCTCCTTTCTAAGGCTCCTTTCTAGGGCTCCTTTCTAAGGCTCCTTTCTAGGGCTCCTTTCTAGGGCTCCTTTCTAGGGCTCCTTTCTAAGGCTCCTTTCTAAGGCTCCTTTCTAGGGCTCCTTTCCAAGGCTCCTTTTTAGGGCTCCTTTCTGAGGCTCCTTTCTAAGCTCCTTTCTAGGGCTCCTTTCTAGGGCTCCTTTCTAAGGCTCCTTT